CTTCTGGTTTTAGTTTGTATTCCTTTATACCACGGCCTTTGGAGCTTGGATAGAAGGCAATTCTAGTCATGGAATTTCTAGTTCATGGTTATACACGTGGATCCGAAAATGACATTCATTTGAAAGAGGTTGACTTTTTTACTTCTCTCACGATACAATCCTCTTCCCACCGACCTCATTTCTTTTCGGTCCACAAAAATAAAAATAGAGGACTAGTGCCAACAATTTATCATAAAAGAAAAGAACATAACATAACTTAAAAATGATACAAACCCGCAATAACACTCGTCGAAGACGTGAAACGACAAGACTCGATTGTCACTCTTGCTTCGAGATAAACTAATTTTTTAAATCCATCCATGCACAGATCTATTACTGAGGCAGGTTTTGCTCAGTGATATTGGACTTTAGAAAAACACCTTTACTTGTCCTTTCGGGGATATTTGATAAAATTAGAACGATTCAGAGAAGATTAACATGACCTCTGTGCAAGAATGACAGGCACAAAATAGAAAAACACCTTTACCTTAAAAAATGCCTTAGGGAGTATTGCTTCAATTGACTTCTCTTTGGCCCAATGTGAGTTTGAGTTTGAGTTTGATTGCATTTGGTAGTATGAGTTTGAGTGCCATCAAGACAAGGCCATTTTTAAGTTGAGGCTTTTTGGCCCACCCATCTACAAACAAATTGCCCAGTTGGGGAGATGGGCTTTTGGCCTACTATTGGAGGAATTTCTGGATTATCTTTCAAACGGACTGTTTGAAGTAACTAGGTTTTTTTTTTTTTTGGATTTTTTTAAATGGTATAAAGTAACTAGTTAAGTATAAGATGAAAATGATTCAATTTACCATTAATACTAATCAAGTTTATCATACGCCCTGCTATGCAAAGCTGAACTTAAAATCATTTTGGGAGCACAGTATGTTGATATTAACTCCTCTTTCTCAAATCAAAGTCATACACAGTACACAAGATTTTTTAACAGTAACGAATTCTAAAAGACGTAAGTGATCGTCAAACTATCTCTCAATTTGTTCAAAATCGATTCCTAGACTGCCCAATTTACCATGGGCAGCTTAAATTCCAACAGCATGTCACTTTCTTTCCTTATTTTACTTCTTGTTGAAGCAGAAGCCTCAAGTATTTTCACTGGTTTTCAATAATTCAGCATTAGAACATAAAACCTGCAGTTCTTATTTCTCTTTATCGAGTGTGATCACATAGAGCAGCATTCTTCTCTAAACCATTCTTCATAGAATCCAATGGTATGCTTCCTCTTTCATGCCACATGTGTCTTATAAGATATTGTTGTGGATGTTCTGTATTCTATTCCAATTTTCACCTGATATAAGATCTTTCAGATTTGAAAATTTTCATTAGCCTTAGTATGTAAATGGAGTGTTGGACCAATAGCCATCCAATTTTTTATATATTACAAATGTGTTGCATAGAGGAATAGTTATTTTCTTGCTTTCATTTCGTTTGGAAATATCTTTGCAATTTTTATCGTTTATAATGAGCCTTTGTAGTTTTGCTTCGACTCTATAAGTAACTTTTCAAGCCAAACCACGTGATTTATGTGTTATGTAATTGTCTATTTCACTCGAGTTTTTATTTGTGATCTTATACCTTATTGGATGGAATTTAATAGCTAATGGTTTGCAATACATAAAGCTCTCTTTATCATCCAATGTAATAGATAAATGGACAAGTTCTGATGCCTCCTGACCCACCACCACCATAATCCTCACACTCTCTCCATCAATCTCAGCCCCCTCCTCTCTTTTGAAGAAATGTTCTTGGGCCCTATGTATTTATTGAAGCTAAGAACACTTAAACTATGGCTTGTTTCTCAGTTCTCAATGCATTCAATCTTCATGACAAAATTCCAAGAGCCATTGAACATTGACAATCATTTCACACCTTGCATTATTAAATAGTTTGCATTTATGATTGTACTTTGAATTCAACACCTTCTCCTTTGATTTGAGATGGAAGATAGAATTGTCCCAACTTCAAGAAACAAGTTTTTGGACAAGTTCTATGATTATAGTGGATTCAAATCACTTTCAATATATTTTTTTTACATTTAATTCAAATCTAGATCATCCATCATGTACGATTGGGTATGGATCCACTTGGAATTAGTGAGGTCTACTTGAATTAATAGTAAATGATCCGCCCTGGGATGAAATTGTGTCCAAGTGTATTGAAAAAAATCTCCCGATTGTTGTTTGTACAATTCTACTTGGACAAAAAAATTGATAAGATTTGCTAATTTCCAACATTACTATTATTAATTTAATTGTGAGTCTCAATATTTATTGGGACCCACTACCTATTTAATGATTGTGATAAAGGTAATCAGTAAAAGGTGTCAATATTTTTTGTCCAAATAACATTTCTCTTGTTGTTAACCTGACCTTACCATAAGGTGCCCTAATGAAAAATATGCATTCATATCTCAAGACTTATATAAAAACATCTTATATATGTTTATCTGCCATCCAAGCTGGCTTTGCAGGGCTTTAGTTTGGACCAGACCAACATTTATATCCTACAACAAACACACACACACACACACAATCTCACCCACAGAGAGAGAGAGAGAGAGAGAGAGAGAGAGAGAGAGAGAGAGAGAGAGAGAGAGAGAGAGAGAGAGAAGTAATGGTAACTTATTCATTCAAACTGACCATACAGGATGTTGATTCAAAGGCATGGGTGTTTTTATAGTTTCAAGACTATTATCTCTTGTTTCATCTATTTGTCTAATTTGCATATGTATTTATTGAACATGCTCTCCCAATTATTATATATATAGTTTTTTGTTCAATGGTTAAGGGTATTTGGATCAATTTACACGCACACATCGATTAATTCCCTCCCTGGTCTGGTCAAAGATAGGTCATCCACGCCGGGACTAGAGTATTTATGAGGAATAAATCCCTCGTGGTCTAGCCCTAAAGAGTTGTTAAGATTCGAATTCAAGACATCTGAATTTATAATTCATTTCTATTACCACTTGAACTGTCCCTTGAAATTTCTCAATTCTTATATCAGTTAGCTTGAAATTTCAGCTTGCTAACCTAACTAGAAGGCAGTGCAGAAAAGGCTCCACATAAGAAGTCAAAAGCATCAAACTTAACTGACAAGTCCAATAATATTTTTAACTCCAATTTACCTTCCCTAGCTAATCTCATTTCTGTGTAGGCATTTCAGGAATTAGGAATGTGTGAATAGAGTATTGATTTTTACTTTTGAGTATGAGTTTGACATCCAATCTCATGCTTGACCAGCTAGGTAGATGAAGGTCATACCTAGCACACAAGACTTCTGTCTATATTGGGTTCTATTTGCGAGTTAGATGGGATAGTTTATAATTCTAATGCTGGTAAATCTCGGATTTTAAGATTTTTCGTTTCTAGAGCAAGTGATAATATATAAAACCCAAGACGCTATATAATAGTTCAACTGCACTACAAGGAACAGCTCTCTCCAGCAAATCCTGCTTGAAGATGTCAATAACTGCTAGGTTTTAAATCAAGAGATAGTATTGTGACTATTGTCTATGCATATAGATGGGTTTTACTGTTGCTTTCTTTTCTTTTTATTTTTTTGAATGAAACTGAGCAGTTGGTATTTGAAATATTTCATGAATTTCATTCATCTTGGCCAGTTTGGAAAGTGAAGTTTTTACTTTGCCCCCTTCCCTCAGATTTCAATCATTAAGTTTTGGACAGACAAAATTATTACTGATATTTAATACAAAAGATTACAAGTAATCCAAAAATATTGCTAGCTAGTACCCACAAAAACAGATAGCCCCTTGATCTATATAGATCACTCCATATCCAAATAATAAATGGAATTAGTCTCATAGAAACTAATTCATAATCAAAGAATTACTCTGTTCTGAAAAAGTGGGAAAAATCTGAAGTTCTTTTAGGATAAATAGTGTTCACTTTGTCCTTAATGTATCCTTTTCAGGTCTTGAGCAAAAAAAAAAAAATACAAAAGAAGAAAACTGCATGAAAACCAACCAAGCAATGGTTTCTCCCTCAGGTTCTGCTAAATAATATTATGCTGGAAGCCAGGCAGACCTTTCTATATAGCATTCACAGAGAGCACTGTCACCTCTATCTCCATAGCAGCAAACCCTAGGGTCCAACCAGACACACAGTCAAACAAAGAGCTGGTGTCATGGGCTCCACGTATAGCAACTGATCAGTCCAGTAGGGAGTTTTTTAGGGTCTTTTTTTTTTTTCTTTGTTTGGGGTGGGGTGGGGAGGGGTCGAGGGTGGGGGGCAGAGGAAGCTTCTTAACATTGGCCTTTTTTATTATCAGTTCTTTTACATGAGTCCAACAACAGAAACACATACTCATTCTAATTTTTCTTTACTCTCGTTTACTAGTTTGCATCTCTCTTTCTGTATCTGCAAAGGGACTGTCTTGAGCCATTAAGATTTCAGAAAGAAATGATAAAACTCGAAAAGAAATGAACAATTTCCCCTTTCCGCAAGAAATGGGAAAAATATAACACTTACTCAATTTCTTTCCTCATACATTTTTTCTCTCCTCTATTTTTGTGTTTTCTTTTCAACCCTCTTAATCAATGGAAACTTCAGGGCTACAACAAATGCCATTCAAAAAAAAACCAAAACATATGTAATTTTTCTACTTTTCCTCCCTTTTTTTACTAAAATGTTCCCTTTCTGTTGCTGTTAAGAAGTCTAATACTTAACAGCTGGTGACAATTTTAACCCTGCCAAGGGTATGCAACACTTGAAGTCCATCTTTCCTCCACTCCTGAACCAACTTACTGATATCAACTTTACACAGCTTTCTCTTTTCCGACTCCATTTTTTTAAAAATCTTTTTTCCCTTTATATCTTGGTCTTTGGTTTTCTTTGGACAGACTTTCATAACCACACCAAACCTCCCATCCAACAAAATCTGATTTCTTTATGGAGAGAAGTGACATTTCTACACAATCACCACATCTAAAGCTCCACTTCAAAGGGTCTGTTTAGCTTCCTCCTTTTAGCATCTGGACTATTATGAGAAGAGCTTGCACATGACCCAACTGTTGTTTTATCAGTTTTGTAGCTCAAGAATGAAGCATCCAGCACACCAATTGGACTTTGGGGCAGTGATGAGATTGAAGCATTTAAAACTTTCATACAACCACTTAACAAAGATAACTCATGAAGCAGTTCAACACACTTACGCACTCTCTCCTGCAAAACCATAAAAGAAACAGAAAACAAAATTTCATTAAGTGCTTTCATATGAGGGTAATCAAGCTCAAAAATGTTAAGGGAAGATGTAATGTCATCATTTATGTTCTTTTAGTTTTTGTACCACCAACTTTACCTCTTCTGCATGATGAGTGAGAGCAGATAATGCTTTCTCAGTGTCTATTGTTTGAGTTTCCCCTGAAACAGAGATTGCCACTGCTGCTGCAATCTCAGAAGGCTTGAATTCCAAGAACTCAATCCCTGCAATGAATTCCAACCCACCAAAATGTTAGTCCCCCTTTCTAATAAATTTTTTTTTTTTTTTTGCAGTTGTTACTACAGAGCAAAAATACAATAGACAGCATATAATTCAAGCAAAATAATTATTATATACATAGGAACAGAGCTATATGTACCATTTATAGTGGCCATTATGAGTTGTGTTGATCTACAGAATGAAGAGCTTGAAGTGGTCTGATCACTATTTATCTTTCTAAGGAAATAATCTATGAAAGAGAATGGGGTGACTGCTTGCATTCTCCACTTCAATGTGCTTAATACAAGAAGCTCCATTCTCTGTATGGTTCTAGCTTCAAATACAAATTTCGAATCAGCTACCTGTAAATATATATAATCATCAAAACCATCAGATAGCAATAACGAAGAAGTTCATGCAGACGCAAATATAACAGGCCTATTCGATCCTCTCCAAACCCCACAGTTGCGCGTGTCTCGTGCTTATTTACCTGTAAATCTAGACATAGAGGAACTTCAGTCTCCTCCATTTTGGCTGCCAGAGACAAACAGGCCACGGCCAACAACTGCATCATCCAAGCCTTCCACTTCTGCAAATGGCACACCAACAAGAGCAGATGCATATCGGCAATGTGATCAGAATCAGATGAAGTTAAAAGCATAGATTGAATAGAAGTGGGGATAATATCATAAATTCATAATACAACATTGGAATTTGATCATCAACTTACAGGTGATTCATAGGCAGAAAGAAACCGATCCATGTAGTTTATAGACAAATATGCACAAAGAGGTCCAAAACTGAAATAAGCAAGCGCCTGTTACGCCAAACAGACCATTAGCATTGTCCAATGTCATCAATTAAGAAGAATTATTTAGGGAAAAAAGACTAAAAATTCCAAAAAAAAAAAATAGAGTGCAATCAACTTCAAAGAGAGGTTTATCAGTACAAAATAATAAGATAACCACAATGCAAGTCCTATTTCAGACAGCTAAGAATGGAGTAGGAAAAAGTAAAAAGCACGTAAATACATTAAACGTAAGACCATCAACAACCTGTAAGCAAAAAACAAAAAGATCCCAGGACCCAATACCTAACCCGTTTCATGTTTTGTCTGAATGAAATAAACCAAACAATCCATAATGAAGGAAAGCAGGCCACTTCATCAAACACCTCAAAAGTTCAAATAATCACATCCACATCCATTCCTAAACATAAGAAAAGAGACCTAAAACATCATGATGAAATACTCACAAAAAAGTTCATAAAGGATTTTACATGCAATGAGGATCGAAATCCATTTCTAAAATCTAATATCCATCTCACTGAACCAATGAAAACAAAAATCTAGATGATATTGAGACAGTTTATCAACATCCACCACCAAAATCAAACAGACAATAATAAGGAAACTACCAAATATAACTCATGAGCCAACCTTTCGAATCCAATCAACAGCCACTTCTCTAGCCCCCAAGTTCAAGTCCCCATTCTTCAGCCTTTTCAAGTAATCAATAGCAGGTAAATGTTCACATTCACTTTTGACCATAAAAGCCAAGCACTCATCACTCTGTATTGGCAAACCAGTAAAACACTGGTCACCAATAAAGCTCTGGTTTTGATTATTGATTCTACTATTTCTGTTATTCCATTTATCATCGAACTCCTCAAAAACCCCAATATCAACATCATCATCATCATAAAAAATGCTATTGTTATCTTCTGCACAAAGAAGGCTTGATACTGCACAATCAACACTGGGTGCCATTGCAAATTCCTCAAAACTTTATCTTTCTGAAACTTTTTTTTTCTCTAAACACAATATGTGTCTGTCAGTTTTACTATTGTATCGTTTTGTCAACTAATCAAATCCTGGGAAATAAAACTTGGGTTTTTTGGACGATATAGAGAATCAAAAAATAGTATTAAGAACAAGAAACGTGTAAGGGATGAAGAAAACTCTCTCCCTCTCTGTCTCTCTCTCTCTCTCTAAATCAGGCTTAGACCGAAAAGACTGCTGCAAGAGAGAAACGAGTGACACTTTTTAGGGTAAAGGGGGAGAGAGATAGAGAGAGCAATGCAAGAGGATCATAGTATGGACATGGAAGGGAAATTACAAGAATTATTAGAGAGGCTGAGAGGGAATTGTATGGACAGTCATGTCCTAATCACAATGGTTGAGGAACGCGTGGATTTTATAACCAGAGTCGGTGGATTTCGAGTAAATATTGAAAATAACGGTGATACCACGCCATCATTGATGACATGGAAAAAGGTGAATTTCATTTGGGCTTCCATGACAGGAGGGTGACAAGTTATTTATTTACATGACAAGTTAGTTATTGATTTTTGTAAGTTTCATGTGTTTATTTGTTTTAGGGGTGTTCACCCTACCCTACGGGTAAGAAATATGTTTTTCCGTTTTTTTACCCGATACTTTGCGAAAGAGTTTTTTCTTGGTCTATCCTACCTGACAAGTGTAGTATTCCTAGGAAGTCGGGTAAATATTTTTGAATCATTTTAACAATTTAATTAAATAACATATACCAATTTAATAAACATAATAAATCAATTAAAACTAAAATCTAAAACAACTACAACAAGAATTATAATAAAATACAAAAAAGTATGAACATCAATCCACCATAATTGTTATACAAATACAATAACAATTAATTTTAAGTTTAAACTTTAAACCATATGAAATACATTAAAATCATAATTGTTCCGCTAGGATTTAAGGTTTTTTTTAGTTCATATATATATATATATATAAATTACTTTGAGTAGAGTATGGTAGGAATGCGAAAATGGATGACTATTCCATATTTCTATTTGAAAATTTTTTATTTTTTATTTTTTTTGTCATAATCAGGCATCTTGTTTGGTGGAAAAAATTGTGGTAAAATTAGTTTACTCCTATTGTTTTTTTTTTATTCAACGGTCAGCGATGCCCTCAATATTTTTTGTCTTACCATTATGTATTATATTTTTTTAAGTATATTTAATTATGTTCATCTTATTATTTTTTTATCATGTCAATTAGTACATACTCATACCTAAATAACTAATAGTAGACACATTTCGGATTAGATTAATTTGGATGTATTGAGTTTATTTTAAAATTTTTTAATCAACTTTGTCATTTTATTATTAATGTGCACTTTAGTATTAAGTTTAAAACTTATCAGAGTTTTGTGATTTTGCTCACAAAATTTTAATAAAAAAAAATATGTTGTATATCCTTTAGTATACGATTTTGCCATTAATTTTACCATTCATCATACAAGGTATGAAAATTTATCGACTTAAATTGTAATTAACTACAAATGACCTTATTTTTAATAAAAAATTATAATTAATATTATTTCTGTTATGCACATATATGCATAGAATATTTACGGATTGTTGATGGAATAAATAATATAAATGTCATCTTTCTTTTATTGTTAGGATAAAACTTGTTAAAATATCTCTTAGACAATTTTTCTACCTCCGCCCTGCTAATTTCATCTTTGATCCAGTCAAAGACAGATTATTCATGTTAAGAATAAGATATTCACGAGGGATAAATCTCTCATGGTCTAATTTCAAGAAATTGTTAAGATTCAAACTTAGAATGTCTGAACTTACAAATAGTTTATGTAATTACTTAACGATACCTTTAGAATGTTCTTATTTTTTTTCATTTACAATGTAAGGTTTTTTCACAATATCTTTCCACCATATTTGTGTGATAATACATTTTAGAATAAAAACATGTGTATAAATTGTATTTGATTTTTTATGAAGACTTTATGTATACATTGTATTTAATTAAACTAATATCATATTTAGTAATTCTCACTTTATTAATTTTAAACAGATATACATGGATATGAGATAACGAAATTCAAAATCACCGATAATTATTGAGCCGACCACCGAATTCTCGGCTAACATCTACTATAGTATTTTCTAGAAAAAGCTATAAAAATGAAAAAAAAAAAAAACAAAATTTAGCTCCCCCAAAAAAACAAAATAAAGAAAATGACAGGTGCGTTTTACACTTTTAGGGGGCGGAAAGTGACGAATGGGACGAGAATTTGCCTCGGGAATCGCCACGTGGGCTCTGATGAATCGACCGTTTCGGTCAGAAAATGCAATTATGAGTGCAAGAATAACGAAATTCAATACAGTTTACGTATATTTTTACTAATATTTTTATTAATTTGGTCAACGACAAACTATTTACAACAAAATTAAAAAATTTATAAAAAATAAATTACTTATAATTTAAATTTAAATAATTTATTAAATTTAAAATTTAAAATATTTGAATTCGCAATTCATTCCGGTGTTTATCGATTCCAACTCATTTCTAGGTGGTTTGTATTCAAAAGTCTTATGTCAGCACTGTCGAGTCACGTGCTTAATTTTCAAAGAAAAATAATGGATGGAATAGCGGAATGAAAGTGACCAACAGTGGTATAGACAAGGGTGTTTTTATACAAATGCCCTTGCTAGCTTCCCTCTCATCGTTCTGTCATCCATCCACTCAATTATCTCGTTCGCACAATCGATTAGACAGGGAGCAATTCGTCTATTCGCTTATAAATAATGTTTTATCAGACTTGATTTGTATTATACATTTCGCTCTTATGTCTTCAAAATTTATAGTCGAAACAATGAGATAGTGTATTAGGGATAATTCATATCTGAAGGTACGGTGCAATGTAAATAATTTTGAAATAGATATTAATAATCGTTGAATGAGTCTATTTGAAACCATCGAATATACTTATTAAAACCTATCCGATTTTATTTTATAGATGGTATATACTTATAACGGTTTGAATAAGACTACCGGATAAAAAAAATTAGTACCATATTATTAAAGTTTATAAATTTTATAGGTTAAAATATAAGTTTTTGGGTTCGTTTAAAAGAAAAAAAATTGTAATCATATTATAACTTTTATGGTTCAATTTATAATTTTTCAGAGGTCATTTACAATTCCCGAGAGATTTCTTGTGATCAATCCTAACTCAGAAGTTATAAATGATTCTCAAAAATTGTAAATGATAATCAAAGATTATAAATCATCCCCAAAACTATAAATGATTTTAAAAAATAACCCTCAAATATTGTAAGAAAAATCCAAAAAACTTATAACGATTGAGTAAAATTCACCATTCTTTCTATTATGCTTGAATGATTTAATAGAACTCATAAAATTGGGAATAAAAAATTAATCAACCCATCAAGAGGATTAATATTTTGAGGTCTCAACTTTGACTAATGTACATAGTTTATTGGTGATTGTGTATGGCTAAAATTTACATTAATGAGAGATGGTTGGTAGAGTTCTCAATCAAATTAAAAAAATAATAATGATTCACCGTAAATGAATTATCTTGACAGAGCTGTAGAATAATTCTTTAATAATTTAATTGGTTGTTAGGAGACGAGGATTTGGGCACATGGTACATTAATTCAACTCTCACTGGATAAAACCTCAACTGGGTAATCTAGTTGACTAATTGCCTTCAAAATCTCTTTTTTTTTTTTCATTAAAAAAAATGTGAAGACAAAGACAAGCGTTCAGAGACCGCCTCGATAGACCCTTATTAGTGGGATCATGAGGCTCCTGATCACGGGCGTTACTTCTCTTGAAAACGAATTAGGCTAGTATAGCAGTTAACCATCGAACTCTAATGTGAGCTCCAAACCTAGAATCTCTGACTTCAAAATGAGAAGTTCAACCGATATACCACTAAACCACTCCGCTAGGAGGTATTGCCTTTAAAATTTCATTTTATTCTAATTGCTGCATATAACACATTGAAATCCATCTCACCTGACACTAAAATGGTAATAGTCATTAGGCCAACCATGGAAACCTCTCGGCACTACTTATTTTAGCATTTTTTAGAAAAAATTATAAAAACGGAAGGAAAAAAAATTAGCTCCCCCCAAAAAAAAAAAAACGAAAAGAAAAGAAAAGGACAGGTGCGTTTTACTCTTTTACTATTAAAGTAAATTTACAAAATTAGAGAGGCAGTTTGTGTCAAAGGGAGGGGGTGGAGGAGAGTGACCAATGGGACGAGAATTTGTGTTTTTGCCACGGGAATGGACACGTGGGCCCTGCTTCACCGACCGTTTCAGTCAGAAAATGCAATTATAGTGTACAGTAGTTTGGCCTTTTCTCTGTACAGTAGCTTAGTTTTATACGTACAAAACAATATTAATTATCAAAAACAATTTTTATTAACAAAAAAATCTAGGAAATTAGTTCTTTTTTCAACACATTCTTTTTTCCAAACTATTTTTTGGTATTACAGTTGGATTTTTTTTTTTTTTTTGCATTATTGTCAAAAATGTCTAAGTCAGTTTACGTGTACTTTATCTAATTTTATCTTCGATTTGGTTAAAAATAAATACATCGAGACTGAAAAATTTATGTGAAATAAATTTCTCGTGATCTGAACTCAAATAAGTTGTTAAACTCCTAAGATTAACACATTCTTTTAAAAAAATAATATTATAAAACTTAAATAAAATTTAAAAAATTGTAACTCAAATGAGTGGATCCCATCAATTTTTTCAATGAGCTCCACTCATCCCACACTCGTCAAGTGATGATATACATTTAAGTTTTAACTTTTGGGTTTTATTTAAATTATGTAATATTTTCCCTTTCAAAAAGATTAGATAGATTATCAATCGTTAATTTGATGTATTATCTCTTTTTTTTAATGTTCAGGGGAAGTTTGGATTAATTTACGA